GCTGGTTTATTCAGAGGATCACAGGTAAAATTAACATTACACGTCCAGATCTCTCCCACCACCAACCTGCGCGCAGGCAGCTTGGAAGATCAAAAACCCTGGACCATGAAACCTATATAATTTTAATCATTTTTGGGCTAGCCCATGCTACGCAGGGGCGTCAAACCGTGACGTCACCTGATATGCCAGCTTGCAGCTGACCATAACGATAGTCAAAACATGAGGAAAAGTCAAGGTGTGTGGCTGTTGTTTTTGTGGTGTGTATCTAGAACAATTTGACATGACATTTCACATTAAGACAAATATTAAGATTAGCATTACAGTTAATACTAACAGCTCTTTGCCTGCAACCTTGGCCTGCAAGCACATGAAATTAAACTGAGCAGTTAACAGCCTGAGTTAGACATCCTGTCTCCACTAAACATTTCTAGACAACAAATCTCTGAATGTCTATCTAACTAAGAAATAACCTAACAGCGTGTTCATTGGAATTAAAACAGAACTTTTGATTGGGAGAACCTCCAGCGGTCACACACATCAAAAGATAGTTTTGATGTAGAATCTTCGTGAAACTGGTTCAACAGTTCTGGGCAGAGACCATTCCAGTTTGAAACGCCAGTCACGTGTGCATAATTATCAATATGTCTGTAAATGTTGTGCAAGAGTGGAAAATGTGTAAACCTGACTCTTTGGGATCATTAGTCTATAGGGTTTTGTTTAAATTGTTAAATACGGTTCCTAAAGAGGAGTAGGATAATGTAAAAAACTGTTTTATTGCATGGGTCCAATAAATGCAGAATAGCGGGATGTTTGGGGATAGTGACAGTCCTCCCCCACAAGAGGATGCTATAGGACTATTTTTGAAGCAAGCCCCTCTTTCTGCTGAGAAAGCTAGACTGCAATTCAGTCACTGCAATTTTGACAAGAAACAAACCTGAACCAAGATTGAAACAAGCTGAGGGTTTTCTTGCTGATTGTACATGCTTTTTAGGAAATTTCAAGTGTTTTCAGTCTCCTTCAGCCAGTTCATGCAAGTCACAAATGCCAGTTGAAGTTAATTCTCTGAATGGCACTGTTATACAACCACACAGAGACATTTCAGTGCAAGCTGCACCTTCTTGCACAGATTACAAGGTGCAGTTCACACACACACAGCTGTGTTCCCCACAATCTCCACGTGGAGAACGGAAGCCTATATTAAAGAGTGGCTTATCTAGACAGATGCCACAAAGTGCAACACAGGGCATGGCACCCCTGGTGGTTGTACAGGGAGGAATTCTGCATACAGCAATATTTCCAGGAGGTAAGACTGACAGACTTAGAGCACGGACTTATCTAAATGAGTTAAAATCCGGCTGTCTAGACCAGCCCACAACTCCAGTTGTTGGTGCATGTGCTTCTGCCTCTTTGAGAGAGGAGGAAGATTGGCACCTTTGTGATGTTTCAGTGCCAGCAATGTCTCATGGTTCTGAATATGGTAGTGATTCCAGCTGGGACCTCTGACTTTTAGAAGAGGTCCGCCAAGAGATGACAGGTGCTGGATTTGTAACAAAAGAGGACATTGGTCCCTTTTCACATCAGCAGTCGCAGGGTGCACCGCGATACCAGTATCAGGTCTACCCACCTCCACAGGATGGGTATGTTCAGCAGTTCCCACCATCAGCCTAACATCAAGCACCTGGCTCACACACCAGTTGCCTCAACATTAGGGCTGCCCAGAACCGGTAACAGGTGACTCACTGTGTTCCCAGGAAATGTTTCTTGAACCACTAGTTAAGGTAACCATCAGTGGTCAAGATCACATGTATATGGTTGACACAGGAGCCCAGTATTCCATACTTAATATGTCACTCTCCGTTTCAAGGCATACACGCAGAGGAGTGGCCTCTTTCCAAAAACGTTCCTTGTAAATGGAATAATCTGTCCTTTTATCATTCTGTTTTGCTTTCTCCCTCCTATCCTGTTAATCTTTTGGCTTGTGACATAATGTGTTCACTAAATGTGACAATAATGATGTCCCTGTGCCATATTGACATCACTTTTCCTGATGGCTCTGTACAATGCTGTGCAACTCCAAAAGCAACATTCAGACAGATGTTACAAACCACACCTTCAGGCATGAATCTTTCTTTTGATTCTTCAGCTGAGGTGTGGTGGGGACTTGTGACTGCACCTGAAAAAACAGATTTGTGGGATACCTTCAAGCAGTGGTTTTCCTGGATTTCCATCCTCCACAAACCCAAAAAACCTTCTGAACACATGCATTGCACCTTTAACTATTCTCTGTATGGGGACGAGGACTATGATGCTTTGTGGGATGGCTTTCTTCAGGGAATAGAGACAACCCAGAGGACAACCACAGTTGACATTCAACAATTGGGAATCTGTACAGATGAGAGACACCTCCTTTAACCTTCTCTAGCTCTGTTTTGAATTCCGGTCTATTTTTGAAAGCTGCAGTCTTTTTTTTGCCAAAGACCTTCTATGTCTTAATTCGGGACTTGATTTGATGTTTTATTCATGAACCAGGGGGAACATTTCTTTTTGCCCTGTGCTAACAGGTTGAACATTTGAGAGTGATGACACTGGAGCAGGTAGCTGTGAGGTGTCGTGCTCAGGGTTGTTTTGGCTAGTATTGAAGTGTGCGTGGGTGGGAGTGCTGGGTTGTCAAAGCACTGAAACGGCAGAATGAAACTTCCGACCACTGGGCCATGTAGGATCTTACATGTAGTCAGAATAATGAAGTCTGACAGTTACCCTTCTGTAAAACGTCCTATGTCACCATGACTGGAGAAGATGATTTATAGACAGATTAAAGATGTGCTGGCAGCTGGATGGTTAGAGATTTGGATAGATGGTTGGATGGGTGGGTGGTTAGAGGGATGGATGGGGCTAATGATGGCTGCTTGCCATGTATTCAGACACTGTTTTGACAACAAAAGCCTCGCCATGGCTTCCTTTTTGTCCTCTCTTTGTTTATTTTGCCGCCTGCTAGTCTAGGGGGAAGGGTCAGTTCAACAGGCGCAGGCACACACTTCAATAGGTTGCAGGAGGCACACACAGACACAAAGGTTAGAGGTCACTGGGTGTATGTGTGTCTATGTGTTTTTGAGAAATTCAGTTAGCTTGTGCACTTCTGGATGTGATTGCGCAGCTATTTTATGTTTATTTGGTGGGTTGTGGACTGAATTAGGTAGAATTCCATGGTCAGATAGAATGTTTAAGGTTGATTAGCTAAGTCTGTCAGTGCACAGGGTGGTTAGGGGCTCTCAACTAAAACAGGAAGCCAAAACACTGAGGTGGCCACTACTTTGACAATATAGTGGGAGGCTGGATAAGTTGATTTGCTTCATAAGATAACTGGGAACACAAATGCAAAGTAGATAACACTCAGAGGGTGAAAACCTCTGCCAAGGGGCAACTCAGTTTCCTCATAATACCATAAAAACAATACTGGAAACAACTGGAACACCGGTGTCCTCACCAACAGACTACTGAGCTCTGGACAAAAGTAGCTGCCTGCTAATAGAGCTAGCTTGGTTAGATAATGAGCATTCACATCTCCAAAAATGTTGGAACAAATTCTAAATTGGCATCACTTAGACAGATTGACTACATATTCTAAATCTATGTGGTTTCTTTGTTGCCTGGAAAAATGTCAAAATGTAATAAAGTGGTGTAATACCAGTCCTACAGATGTAAATGTTAAGAGCTTTGAGCCTGGCTCAAAATCTCACCCATCAGGCCCTCACCTGGCTGTTGCTGCATAGAGTAGACATCTGTTTCTGGAACTGAAAAGTCAGAGATTTCTTTATTTCACAAACTTAAACTGCTTTCTGGAACAAGCAACAAAGTGAACAGATTAGCTTTACATAGTACATTGACATGAGTCGGTAGTACATGCCACAGGCTAAATAAATGTCCTATGCAGACTGATATAACATTGTGTACTTACAGTGCTTCATAGATGCACACAAGTCACAGTACACTTATTAGCTGCATTCATCTTCACTCTACAATAGTGCTCAGCAGTGCAGCCATGCATGTTGGCCACAAGAGGGCTCACATACAGTCAACCTTTGCAGCACTCACAGTGGTGAATAATCTTTTAGAAAAATCTTGTATCCAAATAATGCAAAGGACCAGAAGCACCAAAATCTAATCAATTGTTCCACGGGTCATACCATACGTCTCCAAAAATGTCATTAAAATTCATTTATTACTTCTTAAATAATGCTGTTAATAAACAAAAACATAAACAGACACCAGCAAAAATTAACCTTTGCCCATGGCAGAGGTAATAATTGATAATCCAAAACTCTCAAAACTGAATGGATTGAAAAAGAACAATTACACAGTAAACTTCATTCCAAGAAAGTGTGTGCACTGTACACTGGGCAGATATTATATTAGAAACAAGGCTAGGAGCACAATGTTGTATTTCTGTGTTGAGTAAATTATTTTTGAAATAAGTAAATAAGACATCTCCTCCCTTCAACATCTGTATGCTCTTGCATTGTGCACATCTGTCTAATATTATAGTAGAGTGCAGATTCTAAGGCGGGGCTTCTCTGCGAGGGTTCAGAGGTGAAATGTGTGTTGGCCTTCTGGGTCTGTCAAGATTACATCTTGGAGACTGAGGCTTTGTACATTACATACCACTGTAGATGTGCTTTTGTTGCCAAACCTGACTGAGTAATGTACAGTATAAAAAAAGTATACATTTTGCTTTTTATTTTACATTATTATACATATAATATTTCTTAATTTATTGTCTACTGATATGACTTGGCCATAGTTGTTTGTTTTTCATTTTTTGTTTAGTTCTGTTAATCTGTATGTTCTGCTGTTAACAGTTTAATTTCCCTATAATAAAGTAGTCTATCTATTTATAAATATGACATCACAGTTGAAAAGTGTATCTGGAAGTATTTTTGTGTGTTGTAAGTAATCTGTGGCTTTTACTCATTTACTATGCTCTTTGTGTTTGTGTCTTCCAGTCTGGTTTGATCCGTGTGTCGCAGGAGGAGTATTTGATCACCCCACTACCCCAACATCTGGCCAAACAGCACAACTACAGCGCCCCCAGTGGTCACCACCCACATGTAGTGTACAAACGCTCAGCTGAACACATTGTGCACAGAAGCTCTAGCAGCCCGTCTAGCACCAGTTCTATCAGACCTGTCAATCTGTATCTTCACCAGCATCACCATGACTACCAGCATGGGAAGCTGCAGAGGCAACACTTCTGCGGACACCGCAAGCAATGTATGTAAGGGAACCTCATATTCCTTATAACATCATCATCTGATAACTGTGTAACATTTCATTAGACCATCATTTCTTGTACTGTCATACATTACTATTTAACCATGTATTTCACAATAACACTATCTATGAGACCAAATTAGTTTTACTTAAAGAGCCCATGGCATACTCATTTTGCTCATTTCCAGCCATTTAATGTTTAATTAAATACATCTAGATTAGCTTTGACACATCATAACTCCAAATAGTCTGCAATTATTTTAGAGTTTAGAGTATTATTTGAGAATCTCTAAATTCTAAAAATGAAAAGATAGTTTGTGAATGTGCACAACTCCTGCTGCTGGTGTTGCACCAAAAGTAGACAGCATGACAAATTTGAATTTCTCCTCTGTAGATAGGTAAACAACGGTATATGTACCAATGAAAAGAGATTTGTAACACTCTAAACAAAGCGGGTAATTGAGAAACAGACATAGTAACTTCTCCAGCCTTACAACAGTTCTAACGTTACAGAAGCAAGACATTAGCAGACATTTAATGTGTTTTTTTTAAACTTACCCTTAAGTTTTACTGAGTAATGGAAACATCATTCCCTTTCAAGTAGCTCCAAGATCGGTAAATCCAACCGGTGGTCGCTGCATCTTCCACCACACATACGGTCCCAAAGTAGCGAAATTAATTCCAACAGGTAGCATAGCTCTGACAATAACATCATGGATCATTAATCTTCTTGTTAACCAGCAACACATGTTCGGCAGACACACTGGCCTCAATCAGTCAAAACAAACAGGTATTCTGGGGGAATCCATTGTTGATGAGCTGATCATTCACTGCCCTGGCTGGGGTGCATCATGGACGGCTGCTTGTAGGTTAGACCCGGTCAGGTGAAACAGCGAGTCCCTGTACAGGAACATTCCCGGACACGCAGTAACCTTAGGCCCTGTATTTTTCTCCACATCCTCTGGTCACAGTGCAGCAGGAGGTAAAATACATCCACCAAACCAGTGGATGGCACTGGTGGATGTCAGGCAAGTTCACATGAATGCACAACTGCCTGGAGATTATGACCATTCCAGAAAATCCTTGAACTATCACATAATATTTAATTTTGTTAGAAAAATGAGAGCAAAATGCAAGCAAAAGTTTGTGAGACTTGTATAAACCGAGTTGCTTCTGCATAGAAATACTAGAACATACGTACACCTGATTTTTGGAGTTTTAGGTCACGTCTAAGATAATTCACCATTGTAACATTGTAGATAAGTCAAAAAACAAGGAAAAACATGCCATGGGTTCTTTAATTGTCATGTGTTTTGGCAACATGCAGAAATCTCTCCACTTAAATGCACATCATGAATGGATATTTTGGAATGATGCATCAGGTGCTTGCATATGCATATATGTTGTTAACATGTTAAATTCAATATAGAATTTGAAAACAAAACTTTTTAACATTTAACAGATTTAAAAATGCAATTTGGAATAATGTCATTGTTGGATTTTAAAACTGCATATTAAGGGGAATGGAAAATTGGTCACGGCATTGTTTGATGAACAGAATTTATTACAGTACAGTATTGTAGTTTTTCAGATAAAAACTAAACTGCAGCAAATGTCCTATTAAAATCCTAATTGAAGCAGGCCATTTTTTAAATTTTATCTTGCTGAAAAATACTACTTGTCTGCATAGGTTGAAATAAAGGGATTAAACAAATATTAATGAGGTACTGGATGCATCTCCGTGTCTCTTGACCATTGTGAATTTGTGATGTAACACAGCAAAACAAAAAAATTGAGAGACACACACACAAAGATAACAATCCTGAGAGTATATTCAAGGGAACAATAAGAATTTGCCTGTTATACTGTAAAAGCCTCTTAAAAAGCATTACACCATCATGTGACACTAAATACTGGAATAACTATATCACAAAAATCTGTAACAGTAATTGCATTATTGTGGTATTATCACCACTTCATAACACAGTTTACTTTTGTTTACTATATACAGGTGCTGGTCATATAATTAGAATATCATCAAAAAGTTGATTTATTTCACTAATTCCATTCAAAAAGTGAAACTTGTATGTTATATTCATTCATTACACACAGACTGATATATTTCAAATGTTTATTTCTTTTAATTGTGATGATTATAACTGACAACCAATGAAAATCCCAAATTCGGTGTCTCAAAATTAGAATATTGTGAAAAGGTTCAATACTGAAGACACCTGGTGCCACACTCTAATCAGCTATTTGACTCAAAACACCTGCAAAGGCCTTTAAATGGTCTCTCAGTCTAGTTCTGTAGGCTACACAATCATGGGGAAGACTGCTGACCTGACAACTGTCCAAAAGACGACCATTGACACCTTGCACAAGGAGGGCAAGGCACAAAAGGTCATTGCAGAAGAGGCTGGCTGTTCACAGAGCTCTGTGTCCAAGCACATTAATAGAGAGGCGAAGGGAAGGAAAAGATGTGGTAGAAAAAAGTGTACAAGCAAAAGGGATAACCGCACCCTGGAGAGGATTGTGAAACAAAACCGATTCAAAAATGTGGGGGAGATTCACAAAGAGTGGACTGCAGCTGGAGTCAGTGCGTCAAGAACCACTACGCACAGACGTATGAAAGACATGGGTTTCAGCTGT